TAGGCTAGAAGGATCAGGTTGAGCCAGAGCCGAACAATCATTTCCTATCTACAATTGGAAATAACTTACCATTGTCATTGGCGAATTCGCAAACTATATCAGTAAATTTTTTGTGAAACATAAATAGGCTCTTTTAAAATAGATTTACTAGTAATCGTACGATATTTTTAGTAAATTGTGCCGACTGCATCCTTCCCACCTCCATTATAACCAACTCATCGACATTCCTGACTTATTCTCCTATGCCACACCTTTTTGTGGTTTCTCTCCAATCTATTTTTTTTTTCTTTTCCACCTCTATCTCCCAATGATGAGTAGTTTGGAAACGAAAAAGAGACAATTAGAAAGATAACAGAACCGGTGGACAAATTCAATTTTTTCTATTTTTAAATTTAATTGAAAAGAAGAGTACAATCATATTTCCTATGAAATTATGTTTATTACGACAAAAGTGAAAATTTTCATCCATTAAGAATAAGTCAAGTGCTAGAAAATTTAAAGTTGGGGACTCTAATGTCAAGAAACATAGATAGAGGACATAAAGGAAAATTTACAAAATATAACTTTTATATTAGTTGTATTTATACTTTACATATCAAATTTTCTAAATCTACATTTTGTATACTATATTTTACAGTACAATAACAAAAAATAGTTTTTGCTAACAAATTTACAGTTTTACCATTAAAAATAGTTAAATTGATCGAAATACCCAGAATTGAAAATAACAAATCACACATTTTGTATTACATTATGTAACACATTAAATAATGATTTCTAATGATTTCTTATTTTACAAAGTTCAATTACTATCTCATTTTCTTAAAAAAATATATTATTTTCTTTTCACATTCATGTATCCCTTCATAAATTAATATTCAATTGAGTTTTTTCACCTTATCATTTACCTAATTATTTTCTTTTTCATCTTCTGCACTATATTATGTATTTTTATTAATTATGATCGTATAATCCTCTCTTCGACGAAGCTTCCTTTCAAAAAAAAATAAAGAAGAAGATAAAATCATTGCAAAGGATACTCATGTAATTACTCAGGTATTATTGACATTTTTTTTTTGCTGAACTACTCAAACTTAACATGAATAAAAAGTTGATTTTTAGCTATGAAATAATAATTGAAAGAAAAAAATATTTTTATTGATTGTTTTTAATTTTTATTCAAATGAATAAAAATATTAATTAGAAGATAGCAATTAAAATTTATTTTGTTTTGCAATGTTGGAAGAGCCAATTAAAGTGATAAGTCATTTTGTAAATAGTCATATTGTAAATTTCTCAGATATAAATGCAAGGTTACGCTATGGTTTAGAACCTCATGTACAATTTTGTCTAATAGTAGGATTAAAGTTAGACAATTTTATTTATTTATTTATTTATTTATTTTCATTTTAGCATTTGATAATGCCGTACTTTCTTTGCATTTAAGGAATTTCCATGTATTGTACAATAAGAAAAAGAGACTTATCACTCTTCTCTTATAGCCTAAAGGAATTGGGTTTTTAAATAAGACTATTAAATGCTCGTTCAGAGTTTATTAGGGCATGTTCTCTTTACCATTTTCAAAACACAGAACTGAAACATAAAGAGAACAACTTCTTATTCTTCTGTTTCTTCTATTTTGTTTTCTTTTACTGGTCAAGTTTTATACGCTCTTAATCTCAATGAGTATGTGGATTTAAAAAAATAAAACCATGAAAAAGTATTTCCCGTAATTAGTAAAATTAGTTTCTTAGTCATAATTTCAAATTTATCCATTACAAATAAAGAAAAGAAAAACTATATGCATTTCCTGTAGCATCAGTAACCATTTTCTTGAAACATAGATATTAGGGTCCGTTTGATTGTAAGGATGAAAAATGGGTGGAAAGAAAATGAATTCCAGAGAAAGTAATTGCCTAGAAATTATTTTCCAGGGAATTGTTAATTTAGTGTTTTTGATTGGTATGATTTTTCACCCGAAAAAATTTTAAAATTTTGGATTTTTTTTTGTTCACGTTTGACTTTATTTTACATGAAAATTGTCCATTAAAGTGAATATTTTTTTTTACAATTGGTTATGAAATTCGTTACCATTGCAAAAAAGTTAAAAAAAAAAAAAAATTTGCTCGAAAACTATTTTTTTCTCAAAGTTTAGTGTTCGTTTGACTTCGTTTTACATGGAAATTGTCCATTAAAGTGAAATTTTGTTTTTACAATTGTTTATGAAATTTATTTCCATTGCTAAAAAAAAAAAA